ATAAAACCATTGCTAATATAAAGCAACATCTGTACAAAACTAAAGAACGCTATTTTTTAAAATAATTAAACTATGATCATCATAACAAGATCTAAGAAACCCATGCTTATCTATCTTGACATTCTACAAGCAAATAAATAGTTATTAAATCAGACCAAAAAGGAGCTATAACACTAGGAGCTTATAATTTTTAACTCAAGGACAAGATAAATAATTGACATGCAAGTGAATGCCCTGCTACAGAGGGGGAAAAAAATTCTACATTTCTAAGTGTGTAACAATACATTTTTCCTCACTGTCTCAATATTAAAAAAAACACCTTCCCATCTGTTTTCATCTCATGTACAAGGCTGAACAACAAATGCAAAATTAAAAATTGAAAAGCTTGAAGACTTTTTTTGCATATGAAACTATTTTAGGTCTGCCACTAGCAACTGCTGACTGAACACTAAACTAGGGCTTTCAGTACCATATTTGATTACATAAAGCACTCTTACAGATGCCAAAGTAATTAGAATGCACTCAAAGTTTATATTCAAGATACTTAAAAATAACTACTCATTTATTTGTATAAGATGTAGTTGATGGAAAAAAATTAAATTAGGTTTTAAAATTATTTCAGTTACTCAAATTGCTACAAAAATTACGTTTATTACTATTTGCTCCTGCTGCTTTAAAGGCATGCCTTGTTCTCTGCATTGAAAAGTAAGAATCCCCTTGCATACCTTCTGTGCAGACCCTAAGACAGGAGGGTTTTTATGTGAAACCACTGTTTGCAGTACACTGAATGTCTAAACAATTCCAGCCCGTGGAAGCCCTTCAAGAGGGCTCTCCTGCAGGCTTATTCTAGAGCTGCCATCCACTCCTAGTTGCTTAAGAGAAACTTGCATTTCCTCCCAGCCCAATCTGCGAGCCCATCCCTGCCTGCTGAATGCCATCAGCTTTTTGCACACACCTACCAGCTTGTTTGTTCCAAGCAGAAAGGCTGCACCCCCCACACACTGCATGCCCACACAGCCTGGTTTCTTGTTTTTGGGATTTCTCCTGCTTCATTTCCAGGATGTTTTTTCTTCCAAAAGGCAGACAGTCCCTGCAATTACTCGTTTATTTCCTACAGAACAAAGGGAATCAGCACTTCAGCTCCTATCCAGCCATCTTGCTCTCTCTTCAGCCCAAATGACAGCGGTAAGACCAAAACAGGCAACACTTTAATGGCAGTAGTCCAGGAGACCACCTCCTTTAACACCCAAAAACCCCAAAGCTACTGGGCACTTTACTTGGCTATTTGGGTTTTCTCCTTTTTAAAGGATTTTTCTTTTTAAATCATACACTATGACAGCATGAAGGAAACAAAATCTAAACCAAAATGGGCTGTATAGCACTAAATCATTCTGTGTGGAGGCACTTCCAGATGAAGAAATACGACTTCCACAGTGGTGCAGCTGAAAAACCATCAGTCATCTCGGGTCCAGGTTTTCAGCTTCAACATCAGCTCTCAAAGCAGCAGCTTTTGACAGGGTGCAGGACTGCAGGGAAGCCCAGTTTGCAGCCTGTAACACTCAGGAGAATTGACTCAACAATTTTAAGCCTGACAGCAAGGAGTGGCAAGTCCAGCAGTAAGTCTAACTGGACAGGGGCTGGAGCTGGGAAATAGGAGCTTGGAGGAACCACCAGGCTGAATTTTGCCTCAGCAGTATTCTACAGCACACCTATGTTCCAAATTGAGAAATAAAGAAGCAAACTGAACTGCAATGTAAACAGTTGTGTAATATAATAGTAATAAAATAAACAGAGGTATAATGAAGTGTAAGGGATGGGTTTGGCCAGTCTTTTTCCATTGACATGTTACTTCACCGTGCATAAAACTCAGCTGTAACATCAACATCAAGGAGGGGGGGCAGCAAAAGAAGTGCAGTATGGATAAGAAATCAACCAGGAAGCCATAACAAGCAGATTTTGCTAGATGAACAGTAGAGATATTAACTGTTTTAGTGACTTGGCCAGTTTTTGTCAATGAGCACAAAAAGCTGTTACTGAACATGCCTGAGTCTTTAGTCAAGAGGCAGCATCCAGAAGCCATGATATCAACAGGGGACATCACATGAAGTTGCAGAAGAAGGATCACCTCAGGTGAGAACATTGCTGTGGATTTCTGGTACAAGTTTAGAGTTCATGAGGTGGCAACAAGTAAGAGACTTAGATATCACCAGAAAACACAAGATGACTGCACAACAGCTTTACAGTCATGTAGAGATGGGTCCTATTACAACATTGTTTCTGGTATAGCTAGAGAAGTGTTAGCAACCTTTTACACAGCACAGCATGATCCCATCTAAAGCAACCACAAGTGTCACCCACCTTAAAAAATACATTTTCCAAATGGAAGGAAATGCAAGAGCTACCATGATGACCAAAGGAGAAAATTGTTTTTAAGAAAAGATGATTTAAGTCTTAAAGTTCATAAAAAATGCTAAGAAAGGAATGACTGCTCTCTAGAGATATGTCAGAAAACTAAGTGCAAGAAAGGAGAAAAAAAAAGCTTAAGCTCAGCTATAACTGGCTAGGGACAAGCCTTTTGGACAGTCAGAATGGAAGTAGAAAGAAAGTTTAATTCTAAGATTTGTATCACAAGATTGCTATAGATACTCATTCCTCCAGAGAGAACCTAATCAGATGAAAAATAGACCAAATTTAGTCTTGCAGACAGTATCTCCAGAAAAAAAAAAGTTGAGATTTGGATTTCTTGCTTTTAAGACTCCTAAAAAGAAATGTATTGCTAAAAATTGTTTTCAGTTGCTGGTTCTATTTTCTCAACTCCATTGTCAAGCAACTCTTTGCTTATCCTGTAAGTCAAAATAACTATGAAAACTGTTCTATCCTGTAGTTCCCCTCCACCTCCCAATAACTTCTGCAGGAGTCTCCTGCTCCCTTCTTCTCCAGCCACTGAGATACCACGCTTGTGTTCCTTTCCTGCAGAAATTACCCTACACTTAAACACCCTGGAGGTGTAGCTTGGCTGAAAACTGATGGTGCAACCTCTAAAGACTTAGAAAAGAAACACTGAAGACATTTACATGGAATAGACCAACACAGAAATCACCTGGACAAGTGTTCAAGAAAACAGAAGCAAGCCTCAAACACCCAGTTTGGGGAACATGGCTAATGACTGAAGCTAATCCCAAACAGCAGTCAGGCATCAAACTTGTAAGGAATAGATTCTGTACTGACACAGAGGAAGCTGGCACTTGGGAAACAGCTGCTAAGCAAGTTCAAGCTGTTGGCACTGCTTTCCTGGAAATAACTTGTCAGGAAGCAATTTTAACTGTTTCCACACACATAATCTATGCCCTAAATCTGATCGGATGCTCTCCCATTCACTTCATCCTCAAGTATGTCTACCTGCATGATGCCAAGGCCCAGCCTCATGCTAGCAATGCCAGTACTCCATCCAGAATACACAAGGAACTGCAGTGCAATAATGGTCAGCACCCACTCTTCTTACACAGCCCAGCCAAGCTGCTACTACCATCCTCAGCCTCAGAGGATGTTATTATACACAAACAGTATTCTGAAGCAGCCAGTGATCTCACTGGATGCAAGATTGAAAGAGAATGACAAGAAGGTGTATCAGGAAATGAAGAATGAACGCAAATCATTGCCAAAGGTGACCCTAACCATGAATTTCCAACTACAATTGGTGCAAAAAGCTGTAACAGTGGCTCAAGTGTTCAAACTCCAAATAAGTCTGGAGTAGCATCGAAAAATTCATATTAAAGTCACATAAATGGTGAAGTATATTGGAGTGTCAGAGACCAAAGAAAAGCTGTAACCCATAACAAGACCTTGCAAGACTCCTGCTGGGTGCCTTTCTCCCTCACACTAGTAAAAACTCCTCAGCACGGTCCCAAGGTTATATTTATAACACAAAGGAAATAATTTTTCTTAGCTTAAACCCAAGTGCCTGTATTTTTTGATCAGGCCTCTTCCCACTGCATTACTTTTACTTAGTAGATTTGTAAGGAAGACATTCGCTGTACTGACAGCTTGGGAAGGGCACCAGCATCTTCCAGCATAGATAAAGGCAGGAAAAACCTCCAAACACTAACCTTTATAGTTATTTCATGGCTACTAAACAAGAAAATGAAAACAGAAGTCGCAAAAGGGTACGGGTCCAGCCCGAGACCATCTAAAAAGCATTGTGCAATAAAAGCATCAGCCAAGATCCCAGATAACGGGCAGTGCCATTGACCTTGGCTCGGAACACGGGACAACTTTGTTGCCATCTCCCGACTCTGCTGCAACATAAAATTCCGGGGGAGCGCCACCCGCTACAACCAGAGCCGCAGCAACAACTCTCCCGAGCTCGTTCACAAAATATTTCTAAGCCCCATTTGACTCTCTCCGTGGGAAAAGCAGGTGTTCCAAGCGCAGGGTTTTTTTATCGCACCCAAGCAGGAGGGGCAGGAGGCTCGCCTTAGGATGACACACCGGCCCTGCCCTCCACGCGCCATTATACATTAACCGGTTTTCCGCGTGTCACGGGCGCACAGAAGATAACCCCGGAGTTCCAGCCGGTGTCCGCCCCGCCCGGAGAGCTCAGTGTCCCCCTCCTTCCTTCCCTCCCTCCCTGCTCTCCTCTCCCCGCCGAGGGGGCCGGGGCCGCGCACAAAGGCGGCGCCGCGCACGTGGGCGCGCACCCCCGCCGCCCCAAGATGGTGGGCGAGAGGCGCGCCCGCCCCGCCCCCGGCCCCGCTCGGACCAGCATGGCCCGGGGGCCGCCCGCCACCGGCCCCGGCCGGCCGCAACCCCGCCGTGCCGCCCCTGCCGGCTCTCGGGGGGGCGGGAGCCCCGGCACGACCGTGCACGCTGGGGGCGTCCCCCGGGAGGCGCCCGCGCCCCGCGGCCAGACAAAGGGATGCGGCGGCGGCGGGGCCGGCGGGACGGGAACCTCGACCGGGCCGGGCCCGGCGCCCCCCGTCCCACGTGCTCGGCGGGCTCACCTCGTCCTCCCGCTCGCTGCGGAAGCACAGGCACGCCGCCCGCTTCTTGTAGCCCTCCCGGTCGTACGTCCGCGTCTGGTTCGGCTTGAATTTCATCATAGAGGCGGTGACACGCGGGCTGCCCCCGGCCGCCGCTGCCGCCGCCACGGCTCCTCTCTGTGAGCGCCGCCGCCGCGCCCCTGGGACACCGGCGCGGGGCCCCCGCTCGGGAGCGGGGCTGGAGGAAGGCCAGTCCCAGCCGCTGTCACAACAGCGCCGCGCTGCCTCTGCCGCTGGTGCCGCCGCCCCGGGAGCTGCGCCGCGCCATGGAGACCGTCCCGGCGCCCCGAGCCGCCGCCGCCCGCCCGCGGCGGCCGCCCCTGCGCCCCCACTATTTAACCGTAACGCGCATTCCTGCGCCCGCCGCGCCGCTCCGCGCAGGCGCCGGGCGGGGCGGGGCCGCGGGGGGCGGGAGGCGAAGCGCCGGTCACGGCGGGCGCGATTGGCGCCGCGGGGCGGGCGCTGTGCGGGCCCCGGGCAGCGGGAGGGCCCCGCGGGGCCGGGGCAGGCGCCGCTCCAGGGCCGCTGGGGCGGTGCCCGGTGCGGCTGCGGGGCGCGGGAAGGCTGCGGTCTGTGCCGGCAGCTGCCGTGGCATCGAGCCCGCCGTAGGTGTGCGAGGCGGGGCGGCGTTCCCTGAGCGTACATGGGGTATGCACATGGCTCGGGTGCCGTAACAAGAGCGTAACTTTGGCACTGTAAGTTAAACCCCTTTTGGAAATAACTTGATTTTGGAAAACATGCTCTATGCAGGCTGGGGTGCGGGCAGCTCAGGCTGGTTTGGTTTCGTTTGTATTATATTACTTGCGAGCTCAGGATGGACAAAAGCCCTCCCCAATGGTGCCAGTAGGCTAGGACGAAGTCTACTAGCTCCATACTTTTATTATCATCAGACTGTGGTCATAAAAATACCCCAAACAACTCACAAAACCCATCCAAAATCAAAACAAGAAAATGCTGCTCCTTTCAATGTCCCGGATTGCTGTCAACTGCAAGAAGTCATCAATGCTTTCAGTGGTTGCACATGAAAGATTACTCAGCCGTGTTGGCAGACAGAAGGTTGTGTGTCCTTATTTTAGTGGTGTGATTGTAAAAATTTCCCATCTCGAGTGTTCCATAAACTTTTTCCTTCATCTGAACCTTTTTGCTGTTCAGCAGGCTCTCTTGTGCTTCTAGGGTGGACCAATGTGCTTTAAACTACTATTCTGCTTGTTTCTTGGTGTTCCAGAACACCTTTTTTTTTCATCCTAGTATTATTTTTTTAACAGTTTTGTTGATCTGTAACAAGTCAGACTTTTTATATGCTGTTTATGGCATGTATTGAAGGGAGATTGGATTGTCATCACTGGTTGCTCTGGTCCTTAGTGAAATTTGGACCTTCTCTTCTTCAGAATATGAAGTAAGTGCAATGAATCAGTGCAATGTCACGCTTCAGAACCATGAAAGCTGAAGGAAAGAAAGCACAATTGTAATGAGTTATATTATTTTGCCAAAGTTATAATAAGCTGTAAAGTCAAACACCAAGAGATTAAGATACTCCATATTTAATTTGCTTTTCCACATTAGTTACTTGTATAAACATATAGGTTTAAGAAGGCCTCTGCCAATTTGCCACTTTTGCTGCTTAGCAAATGGACTGGCAGATAAGATTTCTTCCTTTTCTGCTCATTCAGTGCAGATTCAGGTCTCATTTATTGCTGCTTGTTACCAGTCAGGCCTCAGGCTGCATATGATTTTAGCAATTTAATGGATCTCCAGTCAGGATAAATTCTTTATAAGTTCTTTTTATTTTTTTTTTAATAATGAGGGAAGGACCAATACCTAATTAATACCTGAAATTTTTAGTTCAAAGGTTACCCAAGTTAATATTGGAAGGCTTTGAGAATACTGAGGAATGCTTTTGATGCTTGTATTCATAAATTTGTCCATGATACAGGGCAGGGAGTGTGGTGTAGTCAGCTGAATTCTCATGTCATTTAAAAGACGCATCTTACATCTCTATAAACCAGGTAGATGTCATTCATCAAATGCATAAAGCAAAAAAAAACCCTTGTCATTCTTTTGCTTTTTAAAACAGACCAGGGTAGAACTCATTTTTGTTTGGGGGTTCCTTGAGCTAGTGTTTCAGGGTTTACCTTTCAATACAAACCCATTTTTAGTCTTCCACATGGATCTTTCCGGATTAACTTTTTGTTGTTGTTTTTTGTTTTGTTTGTCTGGGAGACTTCACCTCTCATGGATTTGGAGGAGGCTCAGAAATAGGCTTTATACTTAATGAGAGCACTGTCCAAAGATCAGATGACCTTAGGCCAGGTTTTCCACTTCTGTACAGCTCACCCCTCCCACCCCCCAAAAACAAACAAAACATTTGGCTGCCAAATCAGAACACAACACACAAATCTATCTCTTGTGAAACTCATGGTTTCCTTGTCACGTATTGCAGAGGTAAGGGCTGGAAGTCAGAGCTCTGTGAGATGGGCCAGTCAGTGGTTGGCTGTAGTTACAGCTTCTAATCTTTTTGTTTGTTTGTTTTATTTTGTTTTTGTTTTGAGAGACAGAAGCTGAAATTCATTGTGCTGTGCATTCATCTTAAGTGCCTGAAATGACTATTTTTTTTTGTTTGGAAATGAGATCCTTAAACAGTCCTTGGTTTTTAGTCATCAGGAGGCTTGAATCTTCAAAGTTTTTGTATTTTTTTCAATTGTTTATTTTTTCTTATAAATCTAAGTAATATGGTCCTTGTATACACTGAAATCAGCATCAACTGTGTGAAAAAGTCATATAATCAGTGAATAATTGATATTTACAATGCTACCAGATACTTACATTCATAATAGATTTGTAACAATGCATTGCTTTGTATTTTCTTAGTGCAGTGTATGAATAGTGGGTATCAAATGGCATATATTGCTGAAAGGAATTGCTGCAATGTGGTACCAAAGATGTATTTTAATCAGAGATGGGGTTTTTTTTGTCTGCTTTTTTTCTGATGAGTGTCTCTGGATTTTGTGGTTTAGCTCTAGTAATTGTGAAGTAAGTGGTGATACCTTGAGGACAAGTGTGAACCAGACCTGAGTATACAACCCAAGGTGCAAAGAAGGAGGTTCAAAAACCTCTACATTCAGGTAAAAATTATTTATCTCCTAGCTGTAGTTACACTTTGAAGTGAAGTCTGCTTAAGTGCAAAGGAACAATTTTCTTTTCCTTGAGAAGAAAGAAACAGGTTTAAAAATTTACAGAGTAATTAGATTTTCCAGTTCCCTTGACCTACATTTATTGCTGAGATTAGAAACTGCAATGTTCAATAACTATGTTCTGGCAAGTTTTATGTGACTTTCTTTGCCACTCTTAGTTTATTATGGTTAATAAAAAAGAAATATTTGCTTTGGAGGTACTTTTAGTGCTCTGCTTAATATTTGCTCTGGAGAGGAACAGATACCTCAGATTTTTTGCACCTCTTCACATAGCACATCCAATTAATGACTTTATGTTAGGGAAACCAGTGTCTTTAGTTATTATTCTAGCTGATCATTTGCTCTGCCACATTTATAACATTTTTTTTTTTGTTATTCAACAGCTAAGCCAGCACAAAACCCCCAAAGTTCAGGAGCAAACAGTATCTTAAGAATGCATCCCTCTAGTGCTGCATAGCCTGGGCATTTGGAACAGTAGGTCCTCATCCAGCTGCTCTGAGGCCAGGTGAAAGGCTGCCTGGAGCTGCAGCCTTGTCATCATTTCAGCAGAAGCTGCAGTAACTGCAGTGCTGAGGCTGGAAAGGTTAACTGACTGCCAGACTGGTGAGCAGCTTTCCCCAAACTAGAAAAAAAGTCTTGAACATGTTGGAATATAAGAACATCTGGTTTACGGAAAATGTAAGGATTCATTGGGTTAGTTCTTATTTAAGTTGATTTACTCCACCAAGATACAATAGGAGGGAGTAGTGATTCTTCTGAGATTTTATATATTTGGCAGGAAAAAAATTACTTTAGGTAAGCAAGCAAGTGAGAACTGTGCCAAGCTAGCTTCCCTGCAGACTTAAAATATTATCTTTTTAATGATTTAGCAGTTATGAAAATGCCAGCATTAGTCTTAAAATAATTTTAAGTGCCAAAAAATATGCAAAAGGCTTGCCAATTCATACATGCACTCTCTTCTGGTAAACACTGAACAGGAAGAACTTTGAAAAATGGAGCACTTACATATTTCTAAATCATGCTGCTGCATAAAGAAGCTTTTATGAAGTAAGTCCCACATTATCTTTTCCCTTAGAGCCAGATTGTCACCTGGCTGTTGTCAGCTGCACTTTGAAGAAAGTACACATACGTGCTCATTATAACAGGAGTTGCATTCTCCATCCATGGGGCTCCCTAATTTTCAGGTGAATCTGGACCACTGCTACAGATGCCAGCAATTTTTTTTTCTTTGGTTTATTGTTGTTGAACAACAGGTATGAACTGTATGCAATTACACTGTTACTGTCTGCCAGTCTAGCTTTATAATCTTGACTTTTATCAAAAAGTATAGTTTGCACTGCTTTGATGTCTGGTAAAAGTGACCCTGCCAGTAAAGATAGGGATTGATATCAAATGCTTATGAATGGGGATGAATAATAGTCACCATTTAATGAAAGGGGGAATCAATTAAATGCAATTATGTTCATTTGAATGTAGACATCTGAGCACGATTCTTTTTTATATATTTAGAGAACTGCCTATTTTTTGTGCTTTTTTTTTGTGCCCAGTGAATTCTGATTGATTTGGATTTGCTTAAAATTGAACTTTTAGTAAAATAGAAAAAGTACTACTTTACATAACTGTTTAGCATATATTATTGGGCTTCTGTGATAAAGTTGTTTTGACAATACTCAACTTCATTCAAAGTACCTGAAAATTTTTTTGAACTAATACAAAATTATTTTATTTCCTCATAGAGACAATACAAAATCTAAAGGATTTCTCCAAATTCCATGAAATAAGTTAGTAGAAATTAAGATCACTGTTAGGTATTTCAGATTTTCTGTAAGATTATGTAATTTTAGATCTGAGGTTAAGCTCCTAAGGCCATAAATCTTTGTTAATTGTATCTCCTGTTGTTTAGTTTTAAAGTCATAAATGTTTCTCTCATGAAAAGTGCATTACACAATAGGGTCCTTATTATTTTCTCCTCCTTAGTTATGAACTCATTGCCATAACACTTTTTAAATTCAAGTTTTGATTTAATTCTGGTAGTAGACTACTTATAGTGCAAGTGGGTGTAGTTTGGAGAGACTATATGGCTTACTTACAGGCTTGTTCAGTGATAAAGTTATGCCTTCTAAGTGATTGCAACGAAATCC